CCCCTCCTGGAGCCTCCCGCCCTTTTCTGTGAAATAAAGTGACACAGACTCGACGTCCTCAGGCGGAATTTTAATTTATTTTTATTTATTTATTATGCGTTTGGAATTCTCTGGGATTATGTGTGGATTATGAGGAGCACGGCTTCCTTCTGTGGCAAAAGGCGTCAAATGTCCCCTCCGTGACACACAGAGCCCTTGCGGCAGATGGAGATGCCGCATTCCAAAAAAACCCTAATTTATAGAAAAACTCCGGAAAACCAAGTGTCAGGTTTTGCCACCTAAATGTGACCTCTAAAGGGATTTCGGGGGGAAAAAAATCCACTTTGATTTCAGTGATGATCGGTTTGAGGAAGAGAAAGTTCTGGTCCTCCTTCAAGGGGGGGTAAAAGGCTGGAGAGGGACTTTGGACAAGGCGTGGAGGGACAGGACACAGGGAATGGCTTCCCACTGCCAGAGGGCAGGGAGAGTGGGAAGAAATTCCTGACTGGGAGAGTGTTGAGGCCCTGGCACAGGTTGCCCAGAGAAGCTGTGGCTGCCCCTGGATCCCTGGAAGTGTCCAAGGCCAGGCTGGATGGGGCTTGGAGCAACCTGGGCTGGTGGAAGGTGTCCCTGCCCATGGCAGGGGGTGGACTGGATGGGCTTTGAGGTCCCTTCCAACCCAAACTATTCCATGATTCAATATAGATAAAGAAAAAATGAAGCATATTGTTTTCACGTTTCCTTTCAAACCAAGCTGACGGGTTTTTTTTAAATCTTACCCTCAAAATTGCAAACAGACTTGTACTCATTGGTCCAAGTGTTTTGTACGGGTTGCAGTCAAGCATCACTGACTGCTCAAGAAATTAATCCTCAGAAATTCAAAATATGCCAAATAGCGGGGGAAAGAGTAGACGCTGACTTTGTCACTTAGCAGATGTGGAACTCTACTTCCAGTGAAAAGCAGGAGGTCTGTGCTGGATAAAGGTTTTCGGAATTTTGCTCTACAAAGGGAATCTTGGATTGTGCCCTGCTTCTGTGGCAATCACCTCGTGCCACTGAATTCAGAGGGAGTTTTACCCCTCTGTAATTATGATGGCAGTTTCAAATATCCTTGTCTGCTTTTTAAGATAAGTGGCTGAACCTCTGACCCTGTATTTGAGGGTTTATAATTATTGTTGTTGTTATTATTTCCTGCCTTGACAATGGATAACTGTGTTTACTATTGCTTTGTAAACACCGAGTCGGTTACTAATGAGTAAAAGGGAGAGGTTTAGCTGGAATAGCCAGGGAGGAGGAGGTGATTGTGTTATGACCTAAGTACAGCAGAGTTCAGATTGAAATGTCAGAGTGGCAGGCGGTTCTCCAGTGACCTTGGTCACGTTGGGAAGTCTCAGCTGGTCTGGAAGAGCCATATTTCTCCAAACTCCAGGGAATGAGCAGTGCCAATGTGGTTACATGGCCCCCCTCTGGGATTAGAGCTGAACAATGTGTTTGTGCTTGTTTGGTGAAGGAGGTTTATTGGAGATGCTGAACTGGGCTGAGTTCCTTAAGGGAAATGGAGTTGACTTGGAGTTGATATCCTAATGGATTTCTGTGTGTTGTGGATTTATATAGTGTTAACCACATGTGAATCAGAGTAAAGGGAAAACCGTGGATTTCATAACTCAGAGGAGTTTAGCTGAAGGGGAAAATTGAGGAGTAAAATACAGCATGAAGTACAAGAAGCTCTAAACCCCCCAGGATTTCTCTGAGCAGTCTGCATTGATTCCAAACTTGCTTTTCAGGAGCCTGAAAAACTCTTGGTGAGCCCAGGAATCCGACCTGGAAACTTCAAAATGAAATCATGATTAGGATTCATCTACAGCAAGAAATACCCTGATGAAGCTGGAGGGAAGTTTACAGCCATTGTTACCTTTTGTTTGTACCAAAACTATTTGATAACAGCTCAGTTTATGGACAGAAACTGTTAAGAATCTCATGGCATTACCTTCAGAGGGAGACAAGTTGGGGTTTTTTAAAGTTAGAACAGATTTAAAGAGGGAAGTAAATGCAATTTAGGTGCTTAGATCGTACCTGTCATAAGGAAAACCAGAGAGGTGTCCTGATGGCACCTTTGGGACTTTTATACTCCAACAGAATCACTTTCCATGGCTATCCAGCTTATTTTGTGCTTTCTTTCAGAACCTGCCCAACAGAGGCTGGTGGTGCCTTCCCTGCTTTGTCTTCAGGATTTGCAGAGTCTGGGAAATGCTCCAGGCTTTTGTAGCTTATTAGTGCCTGGGGAAAAGGGAAGAAGATTCCAGGTTCTTTAAGGACCTGGGAACTATCACACAAGCAGGGTACAGTCATATTCCCATTTATCAGTGCTTTTTTCCCTGTGTTCTCTGGGAAGTTTTCAGCCATTCCAAAAGAGAGCACAGAGACTTCATGTTCCAGAACAACCAGTATCCTGTGCTCAGAGCAACTGGCAGAAAGGGGTTTGACCTCACCACCCAGTTGTCCCAATCCTTTGTGTTTTGTCCAGGAGTTAGCCTAAAGGGAATGATGATCACTGTTCCACCTCCCATCCTTAGTGATCTCTACTGATATATTGGGAAAATAACACCCTACAAACCTCAACAGCGAAATCAGAGGTTGTTCTGAGGAACAGCTCAGAATCTTACATTTATTACATTCTCAGGAGCTGTGGGTGATGTCTTATGCCTCAAAAAGCAGCATCCAAAATCCTCATGATGGTAGTTCTGAGATCCCAAAGTCTGTAGCTCATTGGACTTGATGTCAACGAGACACCAACAACACGTGGTTGTCCTACCCTTCATTTCCCTATTTCTCCTGCATCCTGAGTGTTCTTGTAGCCATGTGGCAAACTAGACTGGGAAATGAACCAGCTTAAAAACCAGTCCTGACTAAAGCTGGGTTTAGCTGGCTCATTTGTCCAGTCCAGCTCATCCTGTGCCAGCCCAGGGGGGAAGAACAACTTCCCTCAGTGGTGCTGCCAGCAGGACAGGGCTTAAAGCACCTGCCAAAACCCAGCCTCAGCACAGGTCCCTGATGTTGTTTCAAGGGCCCCACACTGTGGGCAGCACAAACACAGCCCTTTTTCAGTCCTTTTTTTCTTTTCTCTAGCAAGGCAAGAGAGAAGAAAATTCCACCTACCAAGGGACATCCAGCACACTCAGTTTAGGTATCAAATCCCTGCCCCACGTGAATGTGTCTGTTCCAACACAAGCAGAATTATGGAATAAAGGCTCTATCCCAATGTACATCCTTCACAGGAGGGATTCTGACACATCTCCAGCAGGAGCTGGGGAGGTTCCAGGCTCCCTGGGCTTTGTGTCCCAGGAGG